TACAGTTTTTATTCCCAACACTAGTCAGTTGTGAAGGCATGTACTTATAAATAGGACCTTCGGTTTGTTTGAGGGAGGGATCCTGAATTTGAGAGGTGTCAAGATTCAGTGTATCGGTGGCTGATCATGTTAAGGGAAGAACATTATCATATCCTTGTAATCCTCTTTGATTTTAATAGAGATTGAGCTAGGTTCTTAACAAATTGGTATGTCGTGACGTTTGGATCGAGAAATCGCGATGGATTTTGTGGAGATTCCAGTTTTCACGGGAGTTGAAGATGAATTGAGGCCATGGATAGATTGGATGGAGAATTTCTTTGTTCAGGAGGATTTCAATGAAGAGGAGAAATAGAATATGGCTTACGGTTTTATCGGAGGTGAAGCTGAATCTTGGTTCATCGGATGCAATCTTTGATTCTGTTTAAAGATTGGGAAGAATTGAAGAACGAATTGTTGTTCTAGTTTGGAAACCGCAATGATCCAGAGAGAATCAAAGTGTGCTTGGAGAAGAGACCTCAATATCAGTTGCCAATGAGAAAGAGGTGGAAGCAATTGGTGTATCAATGGGGACTGATTCGATTCATGTTGAAGAATCGATGCCAGATGAAACAGATACGATTCATGTGGAAACAGAAGTGATTGATGCAGGAGAATCAATACAGGCAACTGAGGCGAAGCAATCACTTGTAGGGCATTCCGTCTCTTAGAAAGATTCGATGCAGGGCATAGAAGCATCTGAATCAATTTTGGCTAACGATGTCGTTCATAAGAGGAAATCGATTATGGACAGCGAATCAATTGTAGACGAAGAAGATGAGGCAAGTGAGGTAACGAAATCAATTTGGGAGATTGTTTTGGTTCACCAGCAGAAATATTATCCACGCTTTTAGGTACAAATTCTAATTTGGAACCAAGCCTTTAAATTTTGTGAGGAATTGCAGTCTGGTTTTTGCTTTGATGACTTGTGTGATCATCAACAAGAGAGGTTCCAGCTTTCTGGTGTCGAAGAAATGGTTGATTTGTTCCAAAGGTGGGCAGATGTTCATGACAAGCAAGTTGCACACCATTTGCTCGGTACAATGTCTCAACGAGTACAGAGTAAGAGGAAGCAGCAAAAGTCCCCTAAAGCTTGGAAATTTAAGTTCAAAAGGAGGACATTGAGTAGTTTCATGCCAACATTTGGACAGCCTATACTCTGAGGAAGACGAACCATGAAGAACAAGGCTGAGAAACTGGTTTATAATAAAACAAAGGAAAAGTTGTTGAGTGGTTACAATCTGCAAAGAAATACGGTATTTCAGTTTTGGCAAATGATTCTGATGAAAGTTGTGCATCAGTTTGGAGAAGCTGCATTACAGTCTTCAAAACAGCAGGAATATCGGGAATATGTCAAGTTAAAACATAGAATAGCCACAAGAGATCTACAATCTGGTTTTGAATATGGCAAGGGGCAGCAAAGTCCATATCAAGTGTATTCGTGTTTGTTACATCAACGCCTTGCTACCAGAGACAAGAAGCTCTTGTACGCAATGAAGAGTGGACTAGTTATACGCGACTTGCAACAGCTTAATATTGGTAAATTGGAGTTCCAAGTGAAGCACACATGGCGATATAAGCTAATACAACTAGTTTTGATGAGTTTCATGCTACAAATGGGACATCATAAACTAGTACAACCAGTTTTCATGTTGGCATTCACTTTGGACAGTTTGGTGATCCTCCTTGGCCTTGGTGATGCAAATGATGGGGATTGCGTGCACAAGGGCTGGTTTTCTCGATTGAATCATGTTTCTTCAACCTGGGAAATGAAAGGAGAAGGAGAAGATAAGCAACAGCTTCAACTTTCTAAGATCGAGGATCTCGGAATTAGTATGGCCTGTCGCATCGTGATCTGGGTCTTGAGGTGTGTTTTCAGAGGAAGTCAACAACTTTTCTATGGTGATGCAAAGATCTGTTTGAAGCATAAATGGCGATCTAAGCTCCTACAATCAATTTTAGTGCTGGATTTATGTCTGGACAGTCATGCATTCATCGATTGGGAGCAATGCACATACAAGCAGCAGGACATCCTAAGTACACGTAAGAAGCGGAAATGTTTCAAGTCTTGGCACTTCAAATACAAACCCAAATTACAGTCGCAAAAGGAAGGGCGTATTTGAATTGGTTTGTGGAACTCTAACTGTCGAGATTTTGTGTTGTTCCATCATTAGTGCAGACGCTGATGATGAGATTACACTATGTGGAAGCGAATTTTTTTTTTGTTAGCAACAGGCTGTTTCCAAGAGGAGGAATTGAATGAAGACAACTAATAACAAGAACAGAGACATAGCTTTATTAGTGGGTTCATTCATAATCCTAAAGCAATGTTGTTCTATACAACATTCTGTCATGACAGCAAAGGTCGCGAAGATCGTCGTCAAGTTTTATGCGCCCTCTCTAAAGGGCTTAC